TCTCTTTTTGAATTCGAGTTTTTGATAATTAAGGCGGGATCACGGATGATCAGGTCCATTTCCGGTTTCCTCTATGCGCTTGATGCGAGTTACCGAGGTTGTCCAGTTTAGTGCGGATCCGCACGGATTCCGCGGAACTTGCGTCCGCACGGATCCGCATAGCGGGAGAGGAGGGGAGGGTTTGAAATAAACGTTTTTCTACTCAGTAACACTACAGAAATAGGTTGGCATACACATATTTTTGATAAGAGGGCAGCAATGATCAATATGCTGTGAAAATATCGCGTCAGTAATACGAAGGTGAGGTTAGCGACCGCCATTTCGGCCGCTCGGCGCGCCGCCGGCCGGGCGGAGCGTGTGCTAAACTAAAATTGGTTTCTTGGATACTTAACTCCAGCAAAGTACATCGACCCTTACATCAAAATGAAGGTGACAGTTTAAGAATTACAACGGTATAATCCTTTTTGAAATTAAAGGCCTTGTACACGATCAAAGCCCCATCGCAAAATAGGCTGTTTTCCGAGATCACAATAGCTTTTTCAACGCCTATTTTCTCATGCTAGGAGGCGAGTTATCAATCTACATGAAGCGAGCCGATTTTCCGCAAGACCTTAAACTTTACATTGCTTTTTACCGCACTTTGATACGACTTCTAGTTTTCGAGAACGAAGCTCATATGTACACGCATGTCGGCCCGGGGCTGGACGCTATGGGCCGCGCGCCCGGCTCGACATGCATGTACAAATGACAGAATATTGATCATCTCTGCCCTCTTATCAAAAATATGTGTATGCCAACTTAATTCTGTAGTGTTACTAAGTAGAAGAACGTTTATTTCAAGCCCTCCCCTCCTCTCCCGATATGCGGATCCGTGCGGACGCAAGTTCCGCGGAATCCGTGCGGATCCGCGCCGGATCCGCACTAAACTGGACAACCTCACCGTTGAAGAGTGTTTTGAACTGCTTAGAAGGCAGTGCAAGTGCTACCCTAACTAGAGTGAATAATTTTCTTGAAGTATTTTTAGATATTGGCCACCACAACGGCATATCTGTGATTACTCATTCCACGGCTAGTACCTGAAAAGTATCCGTTTTATGCCTTTACTAATCGCAACGAAGAATTTATGTGATGTAAGTCAAGACTTTGAGAATTAAAGGCCAGAATTTGTGAGGAGAAACACACATCGGTGGCAGTAGGCTAGGCCTAGTCCAAGACGTTGCCGATAGGATGTCATGTTTTCGTTTTACGTCGTGACTCAGTGTTGAAAAGTGGGTGTGTTATGGTTAGAATTTCGATGTCTTTGATGCTCCATACTTCGAGCGGAACCTATTACACCCGAAAATCATGATTTGTGGGCAACCTACTTGAATGTTGACACATGTGACCCAGTTCGGATGTGATTAAATTGTTGCGTACGTCGTTCGGGTCAACCACTGCCGATGAACGCGTTCGTCACCGTGCATGGCGATTAATACTTAAACTTCTGATTTTTCTGGTGACCTGTTGTATGCCTGCTTGCACTCAACTGTATGCTCAGTTGTCAATAATGTTTTCATATCAAATACTTAGGTTATCCGTATAGTTGATAACTTTTTAAGGAGTTGTGTACAGTTTTTTCTACGTAAATGTTTACTTCTTACTGTGTTTTATAATCTCAGTCTAAAATTGTACTTATTTTGAAGCTAGTTTTATTTATATGTTTTTCGCTTTTTCTTTTACAGAACATTTTTTTGAGTGGTACAAACATTCCACAACGATTCTTCTGCTGTTGAATATCATCTATCATTCCATGCTATCTACTCCAAATTCCTCATGTATTTTAATTCTAAGCTGAAATTGGGAGTAGATTTTCTAGCTGACAGCTGCTGAGCTAAATGCTAAATGCAGAGCTACTTCTTATAAGCGCGTAAAATGGATCTTGGCATTGAATCCCACAGATGTGGTTACTGGAAATTTTCAGCTGAAACTTTTATCTTGGCTTTGCTTTTGAAGAAATCACAAGAAGTACACAGCGGCTTTGTGCTCGCTGTGCTCTTCTAATGTAGTGGAAATGGCTGCGTTGGCAAATAATCGCTACATAGTGCAAGTGTTTGTGGGATCCCTTTCACAGCACTATGAGGCCCTCTCTGTGGAAGCAAGTAAACAGACTACATCAGATGAAATTGTGTCATGTATTGTGGAGCGGCTTTCATTGGCCGAATCTGCACATAATTATGAACTTGCTGAGGTGGTAGGTGATAAGTTGGGCCAGGAATGTAAGGAACGTCGTCTAGGACCAACAGAGAGTCCAGTGGCTTTAATGCTTTTGTGGCCAAAGGAGTCTGATAATCAACAGTGCTACAGGTAGTTCTACCTTATTTTTATTTTGTTTCCTGTTTCATATTTCTGGTATAATCACAATGATGTTATTGGTTTCCAAATTAGGTTCTGTTTACGGGAAAAGATAAATGAAGCCTTCTGGGAGAACTCATTTTCTGTGGATCCACAGTTAATAAAGGACTACTTTCAGCGTTTCCTCTACCAACCTCAAGACAGAGAGTATCCAGATCTCTGCCAGCTCCCTGATCTCAATGAACAGACCTTACTTGACAACTTGCGAGCTAGATTTTCAGCAGGCCACATTTACACCTATGTGGGCTCAATCCTTATTGCTGTTAACCCATTTAAGGTATTGGTTTGAGTTCAACCTTTGCTTGAATCTGTTTCTGTTGCTTCTTTGTCCAGTAAGCTTAGTTTCTCTTTTTCTTGCCTCCTGCAGTTTCACCCTATATATAATCCAAAGTATGTCAAGTTATACCAAAACAGAAGATTAGGCACAGACTTCCCCCCTCACATATAGCTACATAATCTAGAACCACGTCTTGGTGCACAGAGCTGGGGTGTGATCCTACTGGAAAATCCATGCAATGAAAACATCCTTAACTTTTCTGGGCTGCAGCATCAAATCGAGAAACTTTTTGGTATTTATGGAGTACGGTTTGATGTGTCAGTTGAAGGAATAAGACTATCCAGTGAAGTTGATGTTCTTTCTCTTAACAAAAAAGTTTTGACTGTGTCCCTGGCAAATCATCCTGTTCCCAACAGTTCTTTCTGTACTCCAAACTTTCAATTTGTTGATGTTAACTATGCTGATAAAAAGTATACAGTTGTATTTAATGAGCAGGCAGGACCTGAAATTCAAACAAAACTTGTCCATGAATTTGTGAAAACATCATTTAAGACTGATAAGTTCAGTCTAATTGGCAGTGTTAGTAATGGACAAACTGTTAAAGTAAAATTGGGTTAATGTATTGTAGCAAAAGACGTGTTATTTATTTGTTTCAGTGCTGTATCTGTGAAGGCCAACTTTTCCTCCTGTGTGAAACTTTTTAACTCTGTTTATCTCTTACTTTGATACATGCTCTGAGGTGTAAATTAAATGGTCTGATTGTGCATGTGAACTTATAATAAAATTTTAAGGTCACCTCTAAACTGACTGTGTAATGCTTTTTTATAAATTTCCTTGGATGCTCTCCATAGTTTCTGGTTTGAATAAGAGAATAAGAGATACACCCGTAAAACAAAAGAATATTTATAACACGCATCACACCCATGCACCACACACTGGCTCTAAAATGAAGACTTAGCACTATCTTCCCCTTGAGTCTTACCATAGGCTCTTTCCTTTCTCTTTCTCTTTTTGAATTCGAGTTTTTGATAATTAAGGCGGGATCACGGATGATCAGGTCCATTTCCGGTTTCCTCTATGCGCTTGATGCGAGTTACCGAGGTTGTCCAGTTTAGTGCGGATCCGCACGGATTCCGCGGAACTTGCGTCCGCACGGATCCGCATAGCGGGAGAGGAGGGGAGGGCTTGAAATAAACGTTTTTCTACTCAGTAACACTACAGAAATAGGTTGGCATACACATATTTTTGATAAGAGGGCAGCAATGATCAATATGCTGTGAAAATATCGCGTCAGTAATACGAAGGTGAGGTTAGCGACCGCCATTTCGGCCGCTCGGCGCGCCGCCGGCCGGGCGGAGCGTGTGCTAAACTAAAATTGGTTTCTTGGATACTTAACTCCAGCAAAGTACATCGACCCTTACATCAAAATGAAGGTGACAGTTTAAGAATTACAACGGTATAATCCTTTTTGAAATTAAAGGCCTTGTACACGATCAAAGCCCCATCGCAAAATAGGCTGTTTTCCGAGATCACAATAGCTTTTTCAACGCCTATTTTCTCATGCTAGGAGGCGAGTTATCAATCTACATGAAGCGAGCCGATTTTCCGCAAGACCTTAAACTTTACATTGCTTTTTACCGCACTTTGATACGACTTCTAGTTTTCGAGAACGAAGCTCATATGTACACGCATGTCGGCCCGGGGCTGGACGCTATGGGCCGCGCGCCCGGCTCGACATGCATGTACAAATGACAGAATATTGATCATTTCTGCCCTCTTATCAAAAATATGTGTATGCCAACTTAATTCTGTAGTGTTACTAAGTAGAAGAACGTTTATTTCAAGCCCTCCCCTCCTCTCCCGATATGCGGATCCGTGCGGACGCAAGTTCCGCGGAATCCGTGCGGATCCGCGCCGGATCCGCACTAAACTGGACAACCTCACCGTTGAAGAGTGTTTTGAACTGCTTAGAAGGCAGTGCAAGTGCTACCCTAACTAGAGTGAATAATTTTCTTGAAGTATTTTTAGATATTGGCCACCACAACGGCATATCTGTGATTACTCATTCCACGGCTAGTACCTGAAAAGTATCCGTTTTATGCCTTTACTAATCGCAACGAAGAATTTATGTGATGTAAGTCAAGACTTTGAGAATTAAAGGCCAGAATTTGTGAGGAGAAACACACATCGGTGGCAGTAGGCTAGGCCTAGTCCAAGACGTTGCCGATAGGATGTCATGTTTTCGTTTTACGTCGTGACTCAGTGTTGAAAAGTGGGTGTGTTATGGTTAGAATTTCGATGTCTTTGATGCTCCATACTTCGAGCGGAACCTATTACACCCGAAAATCATGATTTGTGGGCAACCTACTTGAATGTTGACACATGTGACCCAGTTCGGATGTGATTAAATTGTTGCGTACGTCGTTCGGGTCAACCACTGCCGATGAACGCGTTCGTCACCGTGCATGGCGATTAATACTTAAACTTCTGATTTTTCTGGTGACCTGTTGTATGCCTGCTTGCACTCAACTGTATGCTCAGTTGTCAATAATGTTTTCATATCAAATACTTAGGTTATCCGTATAGTTGATAACTTTTTAAGGAGTTGTGTACAGTTTTTTCTACGTAAATGTTTACTTCTTACTGTGTTTTATAATCTCAGTCTAAAATTGTACTTATTTTGAAGCTAGTTTTATTTATATGTTTTTCGCTTTTTCTTTTACAGAACATTTTTTTGAGTGGTACAAACATTCCACAACGATTCTTCTGCTGTTGAATATCATCTATCATTCCATGCTATCTACTCCAAATTCCTCATGTATTTTAATTCTAAGCTGAAATTGGGAGTAGATTTTCTAGCTGACAGCTGCTGAGCTAAATGCTAAATGCAGAGCTACTTCTTATAAGCGCGTAAAATGGATCTTGGCATTGAATCCCACAGATGTGGTTACTGGAAATTTTCAGCTGAAACTTTTATCTTGGCTTTGCTTTTGAAGAAATCACAAGAAGTACACAGCGGCTTTGTGCTCGCTGTGCTCTTCTAATGTAGTGGAAATGGCTGCGTTGGCAAATAATCGCTACATAGTGCAAGTGTTTGTGGGATCCCTTTCACAGCACTATGAGGCCCTCTCTGTGGAAGCAAGTAAACAGACTACATCAGATGAAATTGTGTCATGTATTGTGGAGCGGCTTTCATTGGCCGAATCTGCACATAATTATGAACTTGCTGAGGTGGTAGGTGATAAGTTGGGCCAGGAATGTAAGGAACGTCGTCTAGGACCAACAGAGAGTCCAGTGGCTTTAATGCTTTTGTGGCCAAAGGAGTCTGATAATCAACAGTGCTACAGGTAGTTCTACCTTATTTTTATTTTGTTTCCTGTTTCATATTTCTGGTATAATCACAATGATGTTATTGGTTTCCAAATTAGGTTCTGTTTACGGGAAAAGATAAATGAAGCCTTCTGGGAGAACTCATTTTCTGTGGATCCACAGTTAATAAAGGACTACTTTCAGCGTTTCCTCTACCAACCTCAAGACAGAGAGTATCCAGATCTCTGCCAGCTCCCTGATCTCAATGAACAGACCTTACTTGACAACTTGCGAGCTAGATTTTCAGCAGGCCACATTTACACCTATGTGGGCTCAATCCTTATTGCTGTTAACCCATTTAAGGTATTGGTTTGAGTTCAACCTTTGCTTGAATCTGTTTCTGTTGCTTCTTTGTCCAGTAAGCTTAGTTTCTCTTTTTCTTGCCTCCTGCAGTTTCACCCTATATATAATCCAAAGTATGTCAAGTTATACCAAAACAGAAGATTAGGCACAGACTTCCCCCCTCACATATTTGCTGTTGCTGATGCTGCATATCATTGTATGCTACGTGAGAGAAGAAATCAATGTGTTGTTATTAGTGGTGAAAGTGGTTCAGGAAAAACTGAGAGCACAAATTTTCTTTTACATCATCTCACTGCTCTTAGTCAGAAAGGGAGTCATGGAAGCGGAGTTGAACAAACAATTCTTAGTGCTGGACCGGTGCTGGAGGTATATAATCTAAAATAAAATTACATTAATCTAATGTAATCATTCACTCTCACAAAACTATGACATTTTCATTACATTATTATCTATTTTTTCTAGGCTTTTGGTAATGCTAAAACGGCTCACAATAACAATTCAAGTCGTTTTGGAAAATTCATCCAGGTCAATTATAAAGAAAATGGAATGGTTCACGGGTATGTATCACTGAATGCAATCTTTCTTTAATTAATTTCCTGTAAAAAAATATATGTCAATACAGTAATTTTTAAATTTTTCTTACAGTGCTGTTGTCCAGAAGTATCTTCTTGAAAAATCCAGAATATGTTCACAAGGGAGAAATGAACGAAACTACCATGTCTTCTATTACCTGCTGGCAGGGGCCTCAGAAGTTGAGAGACAGCTGTTGCATTTGAAACGAGTTGATCAGTACAACTACTTGAACCGGGTAAACATTATTTTTATTTCGCACTTCGCATTTTTTTAACTAATTATCTAAAATATCATTCATCTCCAACAATTGTTAAATTTCAGAGTGGATGCTTCACATTAGATAATGTGGATGAAAAGTATGAGTTTTCTAGACTGCGCCAGTCTATGGAAATGGTAGGATTCACACTTGAAAAGCAAAGAAGGTTATTTGCTGTGCTCTCTGCTGTTCTACTCCTTGGTTAGTACTTAATAAATCAAGCATTTTTCTAATTTTATTTATTTGTTAAATTACTGAACTATTTACTTTTATGTAAGTAGACTTGTTGGCATCTTTGTGAGAAGGCCCAGAAGATCTCAGCTCCAAGGGTGCATTTTGATTGTATGTTACATATGTATCTGTTTTTAGGTAATGTTGAATTCCAACCAAGAAAATCAGCTTACCATCATGATGAGTCTGTTGCTGTTAAAAATCCAGAAATTGTGAGACTCATATCTGATTTGCTCAGAGTAAAGCAAGAAACCCTCCTTGCTGCACTCACAGCCAAAAGAGCCCGTGCCTCTGGGGAAACTCTTATAATTAACTATAGACTGCCTGAGGTGTGTTGCTTCTTCACCCATGTATTTTGTCTTGTATTAATTTGCTGTTTTACGAATTATTTCTTAAATTATAAATATTTGTGGATTGATGTCATAGGCTATTGCTGCTCGAGATGCAATTGCAAAGTGTTTGTATGGTGCTTTATTTGACTGGATTGTTCTTCAAGTGAACCATGCTCTCCTGTCCAAGAAAGACACACTCCGAGACCATCAGGGTAACTCAATTGGAGTTTTGGACATTTTTGGATTTGAAGATTTTGGATTATGTAATAGGTAAGGCTCATGTGTTCTTACATTTATTCTTATACTTACTTTTCAAAATTACATTCAGGTACTGTGTGTTCTATTTTAAAAATGAATGTGACATATTTGTTGTAGCTTTGAACAATTCTGCATCAATTATGCCAATGAGCATTTGCAGTACTACTTCAACCAACATGTGTTCAAATATGAACAAGAAGAGTACCGTAAGGAAGGCATTTGTTGGACTGATATTGATTTCATGGATAATACAGGCTGTTTGCAATTGATTGAAGGGAAACCCTCAGGACTCTTGTGTGTTCTTGACGACCAGTGCAAGTAAGATGGACTACCCTTTATCAATCAAAGTCACTGCAATTTTCTTTCGCTGGTATATGACAATATTTATTCTTTGTGGTTTTCTAGTTTTCCTGGAGCAACAAATGAGACTCTTCTCCAAAAGTTTAATTCAGTTCATAGAGAGAACAGTTTTTATGAAGTTCCACAGAAATGGGAAGCCGCTTTTATCATTCGCCACTATGCTGGCAAAGTGAAATATCAGGTTGTTATTTGTGATACTATAAGTATAGTTCATCTACAGTATTGATTTGAAATGTATTTTACCAAATAAATCATACATTACCTTTTTAGGCTGCTGAAATGCGCGAGAAAAACTTAGACCTGATGAGACAAGATATTGTTGGAGTGTTGAAAAATAGTAGCATGGCCTTCGTTAGAGAGTTGGTCGGAGCTGACCCAGTAGCAGTCTTTCGATGGGCAATTGTGAGAGCCTTTTTTCGTGGATATTTTGCTTTTCATGAAGCAGGAAAACGCCACAGACAAGAGAGGGGTATGTACTGCACATCTATTTATTTACAGAGTTGTGATGATAAAAAGGGTCACGTATATGTTTTATTCCAGCAGATGGAACCAAATCAAATTATGTCCATCTTCGCTGCCGTAATCACACTCCAAATGAAAATATCATTAGGTAAGTCTTTATATCCTGATTTATTTCAAACCTTATGCTAGGAATTGTGGTTCGGTCTATTGCATGTATGTGTTACACATTCCTCTGTGATATGATGCAGACAAGGAACTGAGTGTTTTGGGTCCAATGCGTGGTTTTTCGAATCTATTCAAATGTCTTTTAGTATTACAAATTCTGAAGTATTACCCTATTAATATTTGCGTTTCCAAGTTTCTTTTGACTGTTTTGCAATTGAATACTTCGTGCTCTGTATCACTGGTATATAATCTGCTAAGTATTGAAAGGATATAGGCAAAATATGGCATACATGTATGGTATCCCATTCATGGTACAAACCTGACACTCCGCTGTAGTATTGGTCACAGGGCTTTGAAAGCCTGGAATATTTAATTATCAGGGACCTTGAGATATTTTATGTCCTTTTTCTATTCAAATTTATGACTCTGGCTGTTAAGGAATATTTGAGGTGTCATCACCAATTTCATTGTAGTATGTGATGGTACTTTGTTCTGTTGTAGCCATCTAGTGACAGTGTCAGCTGTGAACCTCACTATTAACAGGATAGCGTAAGTGGTCGCAGCACTTTAATTGTCATGATTGTGTTGGTGCATGGTTGCATGCTTTTGTGAATCCACACCATATCAATGAAATAAAAATACAGGATTCGTAAAAGTATTAAATACTGGTGTGGTAACACGCTGAAGAAATTTGAAATTTATTTGCCTGGGAAGCAGCAGCTCTTTTTTATTAGCTATTTGATTTGTTGTTAGGCTTTTAGACTCCTCTGTCTGATATTTTAATGTTTGCCTTAATAATATGTATGGTATTAGAGTTCCATTTGTAGTTGTATGTTTGCATTCTTTGTGCTTTCCTTTACTTTAGTAAGGTTGGGTTTTTGCAGCTTTCGTCCCAAGAACAAATACAACCAGGAGCTTGAGAAAGATGGACGCTATCATATGCATCATCCTGCTAGTCACAAACGAGTGGCAACTGTAATTAGTGAGCATAGTGTGTTCAGCCAACATAGTCCTAACAACCGGAACCATCGTTTGTCTTGGCCCCAGTTGAGTTTATCTCATGAAGATAAAAATAATTCAAGCAATGAATCAAAATCCTCCCTATCTGGATGCAAGGAAATTGATTCTAAATGGGTGCCCACCTCCAAATGTTTGTGTCCCGATGAGGCAGAAGTTATGAATCGTGCCAACCAGATAGTCATGTATGTACAACAACCAAACAATACTTTTCTGAGGTGGTTAAAGCCATAAAACTAACAAGCTTCATTATGAGGGTAGCATCTTCATCCTTCAATTGCTTTGTTTACCCTACTTGTCCACATAGCAGCTCTTGGAGCTTCCCCTTATTATTGCCCTCATTAATTACTGACATCTAACTGAGGTGGTGGATACTTTTACTGCGCTATTAATATATTTGGTGGTGGGCTTTATTTGAATTGACTTCAGTAACTTTCTTCTCAAGTATTTAAGGTTTTGAGGGGTTCAAACAGTGTTTGTAAGCAAGAATTACTATCATCATTTCCAGTAAGAGCGCACAGCTCATGAAATATAGCAAGAGTAATTGCACATGTGCAGAAGATACTGGTATTGGTGTTATGTCTATTATTTTAATTTTGTACTATTGTAAACCAATTTATTATCCTCTATGGTCCATAATACCTTGCTGTTTATGTGCATTGCTTCTGTAACCAAAACAACAAAATTAATTTTGCGCTAAAAATGGCACTTGTTCTTTACATAGCCCTGTTGCACTCAGTGCCGTTCACTAAGGACGAGTGGGTAGTTTTCTCAGTGCTGTCTATTTGTAGAAAGTTTTTTTGTTTAAATGGATAATAGTATTGGAGGGGAGGGGGCGGGGGCATCAATGGGGCCCGAGGCAGGACTCGAACAGAGCCCCGGGGAACTTAGACTGAAAAACCCCCAAAGTTTTGTTAAGAGTTCTCAAAATAATGCTTTTAAACATGAAAAAAGTTCAATGTTAAAAGAGACACCAAGGTTCCTAATTTTGAATAGTATTACTTCCATGTTTGGAGCTGTTGTGTCTTCTGAGATTAAAATGTCCACTAACAAGCTGGGTTAGGGACTCAAAATGAACTCTGCAAAATCTGTTAAGAGATCTCAAAATAAAATTATTGAACCTGAAAAAATGTTGATTGCTTTTGTTGAGACCAGCGATTTTGCTGTAAAATGGCAATACCATCATGTCTGAAGATGCTGTGTGTTCTGAGATGAAAGACCAGATAGTTAAGGTGTTACACTGTACTGAGAAACAATACTCATTTTGGCTACCACCAAGCAGGTGATGGTGGGCCGGTAAAGAATGAGTAAAAAACCTATGGAGGAACACTATCTTTGCTTACAATTTTAGTTGGTTTAACCAATGCTGCTCTAAATTTGCTTCGCCCTCTTATTCTGTTTAAATCACCATATTAGTTTTTTTGGGTGTGAATTGTTTTTTAATGTTTAGTAGACAGTTAGTCTTTTATTTTGATATCTTTTAAGACCTACCTGTGTTCTGTATATAGTTATTTTTGTAATGACCTAGTCAAACCTTCCTGCATCTGTCTGCTGTTCAGTAAGGTATAATCTTGGCTCAAGCATTTTTTACACTAAAAGCATGGTTTTAAAATACATGCTGACCAAAATAATATGTTCTAATCTGTACATTGTGTTAGAGAATGTAATTTTACTGTCATAAAGGGTGTTTCATTCTTTTGGTTTCAAACTCATGAGTATAGTTTGTCTAATTTCATTTTAACATTTTCAGGAAAAACAAGTCATTTAGACCCCGTGAACGTGGAAAGAAAGGTTTAAAAAATCTTCAAACAGTCAAAACACTTGCTGGGCGAACTCAGAGTTACTCTCAACAGCCTGGGAAAGCTAGAAAACAACCCATGACTGTCACAGCTCAGTTTCAACAATCTCTGCACTCACTCATGGATACATTAAATCAAGCAAATCCCTTCTTTATTCGATGCATAAAAAGCAACGGTGACAAGGTTTGTCATAATTTCATCAAAATCATCATGAGACGTTAGTTTGCGTTTACACAGCAATTCAAACTTTATATCATTTCTTTTAAATTGTTGTGTTCTTGGTTTTGCAGATTCCTAATAAATTTGATGAGGAAACAGTTCAGAGGCAGCTGAGGTATACTGGAATGCTGGAAACTGTCAGAATAAGACAGGCAGGCTACAATGTGCGACTCACGTATGATGAGTTCATACAGCTTTACAGAATATTGCTGCCAAGAGGCCTAAAGAGCACACATGCTGATGTCAGAACTTTTCTGCTCACATTAAACTTAAACCGAGATAACTACCAAACTGGTGAAAGCAAAATGTTTCTCAGAGAGTGCGAAAAGCAGAAACTAGATTTCAAGCTACATCGCCAAATCATTGCAGCAATTATAAGCATTCAAAGATGGTTCAGGGGAATACTTGAGCGGCGTAAATTTTTGCGGATCAGAGAGGCTGCCATCACAATACAATCTTGTTGGCGCATTTTTCTCTCTCAGCGCAACATGCAACATCTGCAGTACACAGCTGCTGCCACTGTCATTCAGAAAAATTGGCGAGCTTATCAAACTGTCCTTTGGTTCCGTCGACTCAAAACTAGTTTAGTCAATTTCCAGGCTTATGCCCGCGGCTACCTTGCTCGCCAAAGATTACTTGCTGCTCGACATAACCGCCAGTTATCCAAAGAAACCAGCCTAGAAGAGCAACATGAAACTGAGAGGTACTAATCCCACTTCAAATTATTTCTTGTGAAGTACCTGAACTATCACTCTATACCCATATTTATAACTATTTACAGCACTGTATTCTATGATGACAGTGATACTGACAATGTGGGGGCTGAATTGCTCAAAAGGAACTTCAAGCCATCCCGTCACCACCGTGTTGAACAACCTGATCCCTTGCAACATGATACAGTCCAGGACAAAAAGTAAACAAAGTTAATCTCTTTATAAACCTGAGTTTGACCCTTTTTCGCTTTGTGTAAAACTAACATTCCATTTCCATTATTTCAGATCCATTGATCTGAGGGATGAGGCTGTAGGCTTTGACTTAAAATATTCAAAAAGAAAATTGACTCAAAAGCAAAAGCTGAGATCTAAGACTGATACCTTTTTTGATAATGCTTCATGTGTTGGTGAGTTAATTTCCTTTTGCCTATCGTGGCTGAGACAACATTTCTGGCATATCATAACTCTTAAACTTTGTTGTCCATTTTCAGTGTCTGAGAGGAAAGGGAGCTGTGACTCTTTGGCATCTCAAAGAAGCAGTGATTCTCAGTCAAGCACTACTGTTCGCGAAACACTGCATGTTGCGAAGAAGCAACTGCAAGCATTTATTGGTAAGCAGCATTTTAACTATAAGACAAATTTTGTCAATCCAATAACAGTCCCTAAATTTTGTGGATTATTTGACAATGTTTTAATGTTGAAATTATCTGTCTATCAAGGTGGAAAGAGTAGCATTAAAAAGTTAGAAAGTAGCACACTTTTAGCTCAAAGTGACAGTGAAACTGAGGAGAATCATGGTGAAGTGTCAAGCGTGTGGAAAAGACGTTCAGGTCATCAACCTATTTCTCGCCAGCCTCATGTCACTCAGACACATACTCATACTCATTTTGGTCATCATGCTCCTGGAGTTCAACCAGTCTCACCTGTGGTAAGTTTGGACAATCTAAATGCATTATTTATCCTCTAAAGAAATTAAATACTACTTGTACCAAGTTGGCAACAAATGCTAGATGGACCAGAGAACTAATGAAATTTTTTTATATTGCAGCATTCCACTCACAAACATGATATGGGTGAGCCTAACCCAAGAGTTTTGCAGAGAAGAGCACTCCGAGATGCAAATGGCAGCAGTGGAGACTTTAAGCATGATCGTGAACCAGAAGTTCCCACTCGCATGGCTAGAAGACGAGATCACATTTGTCGTAGTATGGGTGAAGAGTACACGGATGGCCGAAGTAAAACTAATGGTACTTCTTAAAATTACTGGAAGTTGAAGCACTTAAGTGAAGCTATGTCATCTAACATATATTACTTTACAGATGGTCCACCTCCCATAACTGAAGGTTCAATTAGCAAAATAACTGTGTGGCCTGCTAAAGCTAGAGAAATTTTGGAATCAAATGTTGATTCAGGGTTGCCATTTTCCTCATCTTCTGGGCCCCAAGTTACATTATTAGCTGCAAAGCGTAATCGTAGTTCTGGAGCTGCTCATTCTCATTCAAGTTTTGCTCTCCTAGATGTCAAGAGAAGAAATAGTGATCCTGCTAACCAAATTGGTTCTCCTCAGGTGAGTTCTATTATTGTTTGATTATCACATCAAACTGTTCGTTTCAAAATTACAGAGGCCTTACATTTTAAGGCCCTGTGTATTTTATCTATCTATCCTATGGAATTCCCCACACAATATTCTAATTTCTTTTTTAGAGTCCCCCCAAAACACAACATCAGTCGTCTGATGTTTTAGAATGGAAAGGGACAACAATGTTCACAATTGCTAATCACAGCTTTCGTAAACAAGCAAGGTTTGCCAAAGGAGAGTGCTGTACTTATTGTTTTACACCCATGGATGCCTTTGTCACTCAAGGATTTAAATGCTCAGGTAAACAGAAAAACTTTTTCCAACATAATGAACTACTGGTGATTTGATGTAATGCTAATTGTATTTACATTTCCTTATTCTCAGATTGCAAGCAGGTTTTTCATACCAAGTGTATCCAAAATGGCGGGGTTTTGCAAATGCCCTGTCCGACTCCCCATCCACAGGGTGCTGCTGTGAAACCTGGTAGAAGAAAACCTCGGAAGAATGCTAGAGCTCCAACTGACGCCAAACCTATTGTAGAAAGCAGATTTTCTCTTACTGGTACTTCACAGTTCACTGATAGCCAGGATAAAATTATCTCTGATGCTAAAGAGTTGCAACTAATGCATGACTTTATAAATTCAAAGGTGCGTCATGATCTGATCTAGTGTTTGTTTAAAATAATAATCTCACACTGTTTGTCATTTAAAAAATTATGTGAATTTTTTTTTTTTTCTTTTCTTTTCTTTTGTTTTTGTTCATCATGTGAATAATAATTGTTCTATTTGCGCAGATTTACAAAATGGAAAGCTTAGAAGGACAGAAGCCAAGTCGAGTTGATCGAGTTTTTAAGCAAGCATTGCGAGAATTTAAAGATAATTTGGTTGCCACGTACAGTGTAGTGAATAAACAAGGCCCAGAGACACTAAACATCAAATACAAGGATTTAATTGCAAATTTTATGCATGTGAGTTTTGTGAATTTTTCTTATTTAATGTGCCAATATTTTTCTCAATTTTTTGTAATAGTGAGATGTATATCATAAATCATTTCATTCCCTTGCCTTTTTTAAAAATTCAACTAACCCTGAAAGACCTTGTAACCTAGGGGTTGGGGTTTCATTTTCTAAAATTTGAATATTTTTGTGATGTGTCATGGCAGGTGATGGAGACTGTGTGTAACCAAGAAAATACAAGAGAGGATTTTCCTGTAACTATGGGTGTGAATGCATTTCGTGGTTTTATGAATGAATTCATGAATAGATCAATTACTGAAAAGGAAAAGCCAGGTCGCAAACGCAAGAAAGAAAAGGACAAAGACAAAAAGAGAAGAGGAGACGAGCCAATCAGACATGGAGGACACACCTTTATGCTCACCATCATTAATATACCCACTGCTTGTGAAGTTTGTAGCTCCTTCTTTATGTGGCCAATTGAGCGAGGACTGGTTTGTCAAAGTATGTATAACAATTATCCTTAGATTATGAATGTGTTGTACATCTTTGTCGTTAAACACTAAATCAATGTATGTACCCTTGCCCTCCCGTAAAGATTGCAAGCTGACATGTCACAAGAAGTGTTATTTCAAAGTAAGCTCAGATTGTGGAAAAGAAGCTATGGGCTCAGGTACAGATGGTGTTTGTACCCACAAGATATTTGGCACACCTTTGCATCAGTTAGTGAGTGGAGACATAAAGGTTCCAATTGTAGTGGACCGGCTCATTACCACTATTGAAATGTATGGGTTATACACTGAGGGAATCTATCGCAAATCTGGGGTATGTAACCTTACTTGCTTACAACTAACTTAAAATTGCTTCTGAAGTAAATGCTAACCAACATTCTTTTCTACAGGTCACATCAAAAGTAAAAGAATTAAAAGCTCGATTAGAAGCAAGTGGAGATGGCAGTAGTTCTGGAGTGCATGATGAACCTGTTGACTTTGAGACATATCCTATTCATGTTCTTGCATCTGTCCTTAAATGCTTTTTGCGTGAGATGCCTGAACCTCTTTTGACCTTTGATTGTTATGAGGACTTTCTGAGAGCTGCTAATCTCACAGAACCAGCTGACAGAGTATCTACTTTATATGCAATTTTGAAAAAATTACCAAAGCCTAACTTTGATCTGATGGAAAGATTAATTTTTCATCTAGCTCGGTAAGGCAATCGAGAAATATTCTTTTTGCCATTTCCTGGCTTGTTGTGAAATGGTAAACATTTTATCAAATTAATTAAAACGTGTTTCTGGTATTTCATTTTTACAGAGTTGCTCTACATGAGGATACCAATAGAATGAGTCCCAGTGCTCTTGCAATTGTCTTTGCACCTTGTGTACTACGGACCAATAAAGTGGTCCCTGCTCAAGATTCTCTTACTGATATAAGTCGCCAAACACAATGCATTGAAACAATAATTTCAGAGCAGCTGAGAAAGGTCCGATCTACTCTTGCAGATATTGATACATTGGATGAGGCTTGTCACACGGCAACTCATCGCTTGTCTTCCTTACGGAGTTCCAAGGTTTGTGTAATGTATTACTTACTGCAAATGAGTTTCAAATTATATTTCAATTCATCCCATTATATTAAGGTAATAAATTAAGGGTACTCATAACTAGTTGCTATTGCAGATCTTTACTCCAGAAGAGCTGCTGCCTGTTCGAACACCCACACATGATGAGGAGGCAATACTTGTTGGTCACATTCAAGAAATGGAGAAAGAAAAGGCTTTGTTGACATCAGCCTTGCCTAGTCTTACTCGTGCTTCTTCTGATGATGATCTACTGTCAACTGATATGGATGATGGTAGTCTCGATGATGGTGCTGAAATAGAGAGTGAAGGTATTACAGTTAATTCTGGTTAAACTTTGAGACCAAGTTTTTAAAACACGATGGTTGATTTTGAGTTACGTACTTGAAACATGTGATTTATGGTTTCCTTCTTATCACAATTTTTAGGGGGTAGACACCACAGACGTATTTTATCCAGAACAGAAGATGATCATGGTCCCCGCCAGTATTCTGCTGATGGAACTCCTAAACAATCATCTTCGTCATCCCACTTAAGTGTTACCTCTCGTTATTCATCTTCTAACGATTGTGATGAGGACCCCATTATGGTATGATACGCTTAATTTAGCTCCTCCTGCTGGACATGTGGAGCTAATTGTGTTTTTCCTTTCCATATTTTAAAAAACTGTTAGGAGGATGTCTTCAGTTGTTCTCCATTAAATAAATTGTAAGTTTTGTTGAACTTTTTAATTAAGGGGTTTCTTAATGATCTAAAAGAAATTTTAATAGTCCCTATACAATTATGCTGCCAAGACAGAGTTCATTGTACTTTTAAGAAATATATTTTTTAAACTTAAGTGTCTAATTCCAATGTTATAAGTTAGTTGATTTAGCTCAGCGACCGTTAAAGAGTATGTTATATGAAGCATTTATAATTGTGGATGAAAACTTTCTTTTCTTCAATTTTATTATGTATAAGCATTATCTGTGTTGTAGTTTAAAGTCAGTTGTATCTTTTAATGCTTTGATGAGTGGTTCCAGTGATTGGTAGTTGTGGTAGGTCAATGCCATTTGTGTTATGTGTCTAGAACAAATTTAGTGATAACTATTCTTTACTGAATCTTGCCCTCTTTCATTGTTAAAATTTTCAACTTTCATGATATTTTGAGGGTTTATGGATTATATTGACCCGGCCTGTTGGAATTTGAAGCTCATAACAGTGTTCTTACTCAGTCTAACTCGAAGAAAAGTAATATTTATATTTTATATAGCGGCACAGCAAGAAGTGCGTGAACAAATGAATAATTGTGTTATCTTGCCTGCGCTTGATCATACACTGGATTTATCATTTCCATTTCATTTGTGTGCAGAGTAGTTGGGTGTCTTGTGTGTTATTGTGTGTAAGTAGTAATTTGATTGTAAATGCAATTTGACACCAAAGATTAAATTTGTTTGTCTTGGAATACTTATTCCATGTTACATATCATGCTCTTTCTGGTTTTTAGGTATCAAATTTTTGGAGGTTGTCAGAACTATGTTACCCTGTTGTGTCCGTTCTGTGAACTTTACGGTAATGAGTGCTTTCAATATACATCTAGTGTTGTCACCAAATACAGTCATTCTTTTAAAGTTATATGTGGTCACCATCCTTATCATACTTGTATTTCATATAGGAAAGTTCCTATATACATAATTTTCTGTATTTATTGAACTGACATTTTCTTCTTCAGTACAAGCTATTTTTGAATACTTGTGTTTGTGCACAGTTGAAAGTTACAATCTCATGAACAAAACATATAGTTGTGAAACTTATTCCAATCTCAGAAACAACAGATATCATACATTGTGGCTTTATGTGTTTGAAGTATATGAGTATGTTCTGTCAACCTTACAAAACTGCAAACTTTTATTGAACATGTTAGTTCATAACAATATGAACAGTTCTGTTCCGCAACGTCTAGTTTTCATTTATGGAGTGTGATATTCTCCTTTGTTTCTCTTACTCCTATTTTTCTCTTTTACTATCTAGAAAGGAAGGTTTGTGATAATCTTTTCTTATACTCTGTTCTTCATTTTGTCTGCATTAATTCCCTCATTGGATTTATAAATGGACGAGCTCATCTCAAAATGGTGTCTCGCTAAAATGGTTTTTTTTCGTGTTTTTTTTTTTAAATTTTATTATTTTCACAGTACTGGATATGGAGAACGAAGTCAAAAGCAACTTTAGATGCTTGCTCATAACCAATATTGTATTATATTTTTCAAGGAAGAGATCAAGTTTGTTGTATTATAGTCTATGGTTGCAAAATATGTTATTTTCTGCTATGGTCACATCAATGCCACTTTATTTCTGGCATTTTTTTTTCTTCCATAGTTTAGAAGGGGTGTTCATTTGTATTTGAATAGAATGACATGGGAAGTCAGAAACCTTCTCTTAATATTTCCATGACATAGATAATTGTTTGTCTTCCCACTTTTTCTCTTTGTTAAAATTACGCTCATATATTGGCTTCTTTATCTGAGCTTGCACAAAATTCAACTTCTTGTAACTGCAGTGTATCGGTATGTCTGAACGAAGCGAAACTAGGAACTTCCTCTTATGCTACCTGAATTTTTAAGTATCAAATAAGAAATGTTAAAGTACTTCTAAAAAGAATGCGTACTTCTATTGTCTCAACACAAAAATATTCTGTATTTGCTTTTGTATTCTTAATTGAATTATTTTGGTATTGTGTTTTATAAATATTTTACGCCACTAAGATTCATAACTATTAAATGTATGCCCATCTCTTAGTCTTGAATCTGCATTTTTTATTTGGGTTGTAGTTAATGATGAATAAGAAGCTTTCTTAACTCGTATATCTTTCTTCTTTATGCTGCTCAACTTTTTAATTAATTTCCATGAGACTTCTGTAGTTGTTAGTTGAATGCTGCAGAGTCAGACTGTGTTATTGTACCTGCCTTCCTTCCATTGTCTGTTTTTCGAACCAACACTTTTATCAGTCGCCTGCATCATGACTAAGTAAAAGCTTCACCAATAATCCTTTCTGTGGTCCATTAAACGAAGTAGGTGTGCCATTAGTAGTACCATATAGTATCAAATGGCAGTCCAACTACAAATTCTTTTTCATTTTCATTTTTTTAAAATTTGATTGGAGTATTGGGTATTTCTTTTGTTTTGATTTACTGAGTAATTTTTTGATCCATACTGGAGAAGTGATTGTTGTACCTATTTCCTTTATTTACAAAAGCAACACTGCTGCTTCTATTTGAGGCAAAACTCATCAACTTCCTCACAGCTCTTTACTTTATATGTAAACACCGTTTAATTGCTTATTTCAAACAATTTGCTCATTTTTGGTGTGAAGCTAGTGTTTATTCTGTAATGCAATTAAGTAAATTGTGAATACCATCTTAATGAAAGGTATATGGATCAGTTCATTGTCCTATATCATGTTAATCATTTGCATTCTGTAGTAAAGGATGTGCCATGAAATAAGATTTATGTATTTCCTGCAGGGCATTGCAGGGTGTGCTTTACAATTAGAGGCATCTTCTGGTATTGATGCGGCGAACATGTGTCTTTCCGTGGTAGGTTTCCAGACTTGTGTGATTTTTTTTCCCTTTTTGTGTTATCCATCTTCACCTCCAATATTATGCATCACTTACTATTGTTATTTTACTTGATGATTGGTTATGGCTGATCTGTTCTGTTGTTGTGTACTTATAATGTTTATAATGTCATGTTATATTTCTCTGTGTATTACTCCAACTCATTCAATATGTTTACTATCTTTCAATATTTTAACAACGAACTTCCATTGGCTAGTTAGACATTTTTAACTCTAGTTTATCATAATTTTCCAATCTTTATGTCATAATTTGCACTGATTGGATAAACTCTATGCAATTAAGTACTGTGTGTATATGATCTGTTGCTCCCTTTAACTTATTTGATGTTTTCCAGACCAACCATTTTTAAGACTTATGTTTAAGATGAAATACTCACATAATTCCTGTTGTAAATACAAAGGCTAGTGTAATTCCAAAATTATGGGAATGTTTTTAACAGAAGAGGCCAGATCACACACAGGAGTTCTACACTTGTTAAGAAGGCTTTTCCAGTATGCTTGTATTTAATTATCTTATTCGTCTCATCAATTTTTAAGTTTGATGAGTGTGCATTACTTGGATCCTTGATACTCCATATTGGTGGTTTTCTTATTTATTAATCTATTTTGTGTGGTAATTTAATCAAAATGTATTAGGTGGTTGTTTTAATCATGTGGTTTTCATGAAGAAATCCATTCTTGTGCATTTCTGTATTCTACATTTCTAGATTTCATTCTCTGTTCCATGTTAAGTTGTCTAATGTGATTGCTGTATGCCCTTGTTCTTCTTTATTTTATTTTTGTAATCTATTGTACTTTTTAAGACTTGTACAAAGGTACTGGTGAGTCAGTGACTCACTGCTCCATGATGCTCTCTAGTCAGAGAGGAAGTTTGTTACAATCTATTTATATCCCATGTGTTACTTTCAAGCTGGACTAACCATGCAGTTGCCTTTGTTAACTCTCATTTTCTTCCAATTGCCTGCCAGGTTTAATGTGATTGATCTGAATGTGTGATTTTGTTAGGTAATGATTATGACTGTAAAATGGTACGGCATGTTATGAATTGCAAAAGTGGTAATAGTTTATTATATCTGTTTGTATGAAAAGTGTACAGAAATAAACAATAATTATATCACTTATTCATTTTAAGCATTCCCTAACGTCCATAGGGTCATCCATGATTACGCTTTCTAGGAAGGATTTGATTGAACCAATGAAAGGTGGGGGATTTGAAGAGAGCCTCGGGATCTCATTGGATGGCCTGATCCTGTTCTTAATACCAACAATGGCACAAGCAACCTTTTAGTGTGGAGAGCAATGAAGACCCGCTCTAATCCTCTCTTCAATAGAGATCTAAAAACTTTAATCATTGTAGTATTTCACTGTATCAACCATGCAAAGAACAACAGTAGAAATACTGTCATTGACTTCCCCAGCAGTACCAAAGCCTCCACAACTACGTGTCGTTTGGCACTAAAATGGAATTACTTCACAAGGAAGTTCTTATCTTATTACGGGTGAACGTTGTTACTTCGTCGTCCAATCGTCGCAAACTTTGAAAGCCCTAGTAAAATATTTAGAGTTTGCCCTTAAAATTGTGAGCCGTTGGTAAGCGTTTTGTCGTTTGAAGTGTAGTGTCCAAGGAACATTTCTAGCGTGCTAGTGTGATGATTTCAGAGAATTCAATATTGGATCTTGGCCTTGGGCGTTTTGGTGCAACCTGGTCCAACCCGACCCCGGGTGACGACGTGGCAGGGGGCGTAAAGGCAGCCGTAGGAGGGGCGTAACGCCAACACAAGGGTGGGCTATGGATCGATCGGGCCATCTCTCGTCTGGTCACGTGACGTTCTCCCTCCCCTTTCCCCCACTCCCCTCCCCCACGAGGAGAGCCAACGACGTGCCAGCAGCGAGCACTCAGCGGTCACAGCTCGCCCTTCCTCCTACTCTACCGACACCCACCCGAGGTGAGTGGTCACGTCTGCATGTCGCTCCCCGTGTCGTTAGAAGATTGACTTTGAAATAGTTAACATTGGCCCACTTTTCCGTGCTTTGCCCTTCACCTGTATTGATCGCCACCGTCCGCTGACAGTAGTCCCATTTGTGGTATAGTTCTGCTATCGAAGGCGCCGTCCGCCGGTCTGACGTTAGTGTCACCGGTCGATTTTCGTGAAGGAAAGTGGAAATTTTGCATTCGAACCGGACATGTGCGTGGCTCAATAGTGAAATTATCATGTTTAGCGCGGTTCTGGGGTAATTTTGGTTTGCGCGAGTTAGTGCAAGTGTTTCATAAGCTTCCTTGGTCCGTGACCTTGGCTTGTCCTTCTGGCATTTATTCTTACAGTGAAGGGTTGTTTGAATGGCAAGTTCAGGCATCAAAACGTTCTGAGCTTGGTATTCTCCCAGTAAGTGGGCGTGTCACTTTTAGTCCATAGGATTGTCTGATAGGTCGTACTTTAGTATGACAACTGACAGCAGTTAGCAAGCCCCTGTGAAATGCTGTGTCCTTGACATTGGGATGTTCTAGTGGTGAATCAACTGGGAAGACCCGATTCTTCTAGCATTGGGATTGGGTTGGTAATCAATTAGCTATTACATTGTCAACTCAACTTTTTCAATTTTTCTTGACAGACAAACCAAATCATCATGTCCAAGATCGGAATCAACGGATTTGGCCGTATTGGCCGCCTGGTCCTCAGGGCTTCCATTGAGAAGGGTGCTCAGGTAAGTCAACTCTCAATGTTGTTGCATCAGAAAATTTCAGACGTTATCTAATTCATGACATACATTATTGCTTAGGTTGTTGCTATCAATGACCCCTTCATTGGAGTAGACTACATGGTCTACCTCTTCAAATATGACTCCACCCACGGTCGCTTCAAGGGTGAGGTGAAGGTTGAGGGCAACTGCCTTGTTGTAAACGGTAAGCATACTCAAACAAAATTGACAGTTGACTGAAACATACAACTTTTTCTATATGAAAAGGGATAAATGAGCTCTGACTAACTTATGCCATTTCAATACTTACAGGCAACAAGATCCAGGTGTTCCAGGAGCGAGACCCCAAGGCCATCCCATGGGGCAAGGCTGGTGCTGAGTACGTTGTTGAGTCCACTGGTGTCTTCACCACCACCGAGAAGGCCTCCGTAAGTTTAACTGACTTACCTGACATGCTATGTAACTGTTCAAAGATCAGTTGTTTCATTTATGTTATTTTTCAGGCTCACTTGGAGGGTGGCGCCAAGAAGGTCATCATCTCTGCCCCCAGTGCTGATGCTCCCATGTTTGTCTGTGGTGTCAATCTTGATGCCTACCAGCCATCCATGAAGGTTGTCTCTAACGCTTCCTGCACCACCAACTGCTTGGCCCCTCTTGCCAAGGTCATCCATGATAACTTCGAAATCGTTGAGGGTCTCATGACCACTGTCCATGCCACCACCGCTACCCAGAAGACTGTTGATGGTCCCTCTGGCAAGGTATGTAAGAGATAAGTAAAGCATGTTGAACACTTAATTAATGTATTGGCTGCTGATCTGAATATTTCTTTCCTTAGCTGTGGCGTGATGGCCGTGGTGCTGCTCAGAACATCATTCCAGCTGCCACCGGTGCTGCTAAGGCTGTTGGCAAGGTCATTCCAGCCCTGAATGGAAAGCTCACTGGTATGGCTTTCCGTGTTCCTGTTGCCAATGTCTCCGTGGTTGATCTCACTGTCAGGTGAGTTATCTGTAACCACTGATAATGCTCCTATCAGCTTGTGTTACCCTGTAATCTGAGTGTCTGACCTTTACAAATCTTGCTGAAGTATTTTTTTAACATGCCTGTTCCTTTTCTTAGGCTGGGCAAGGGAGCCAGCTATGATGACATCAAGGCCAAGGTAAAGGAGGCTGCCAATGGACCCCTGAAGGGCATCCTGGGTTACACTGATGAGGAGGTTGTTTCCTCTGACTTCATTGGTGACAACCACTCTTCCATCTTTGATGCTGCTGCTGGCATTTCCCTAAACAACAACTTCGTGAAGCTTATCTCATGGTAAAACAAATTCTAGTGTTTTATTTAAACTCATGCACAGTTCAACAATTTTGTAAAAAAAATTTCTCTCTTCTCAGGTATGACAATGAGTATGGCTACTCCAACCGTGTTGTGGACCTCATCAAGTACATGCAGTCCAAGGACTAAATTTTTTAACTCTACCTATGTCAACCATCTTTTAAGTGTCTGAGAAAAGCACATTTCTAGATTACAAGACTAGTCGCTAGAATCAAATTGTAACAACCCGTACTTGATTTGTGCTTTCATTGAAATCATTTTATTTGCTACGAAAAAATATAAATTATTATAGATCTGTACATTTGCTTCTTTTAAGTCCTAAGCCCATTGCAAATGTCTATTTATTTCCTGCATGGAAGGTCTATTCTCCCACATTGATATTATGTATGATAACATTCTGATCTGTGAATGTTTACTGCTGAACTAGATTTTCTGCAGAACAGTATTTAAGATATGTCTGTAGGATTGTCATTTAAAGTTGATTCCAGACACTGCATGTACAATATCTGGTGCTGTAGTTGTCGTGCTCAACTGCACACTCGTGTACGGTCAATATTTGACAATAAATATTGGAGGAAAAAGTCACGAATCTTATATAGCAAACCCACTCCTTGCACATCTGAAGTATTCACTTATTGGTGACACATACTCGAATTTTTGAAATTCAATTCGCCGAATGCGGGAGCGATTACATATGCTCTGAAAAAATAAGATAAACTAATAGTGAGGTGATAAATGTTTCGATTTTTTTTTCACTTTATTATTTTTTGCATGAATTGGACAAGTTGCACACGAATCAATGAATGAACCCTGATTCCTCCCAACTTTGCAGTCAGTTTTCAGTTGTTTTTTGTCTTTTTTAATGGTCTTCGGTTGAGAACAAGGTGGTCGTCATAACGTCGACTTTGGCAGCTCCTAGAACTAAAACTACTTGGCGGATGGACCACTCAGTTTTTTCCGTTCGGTCATTCATGAGGCACTTTCCAAGGCATGCTGGGTAACGCTGCCCCCCCCCCCTCCCTTTTCCACCGATGCCAGCGCCACCACCATACCCGACTTCGTCTCGCCCCGCTCGGCTCGGCTCGGCCCTCGGCTCGCGTCCGCGCCTCGCCTCTCGTCTCGCGTCGCGTCGTCGCGTCAGTGTTCGGCTGGAAGCCATCCGCTGGGGACGACACCCCGTCGTTCCCAGTTTTCGGTTAATCACTGATCATTTCATCCCCAAGAAACTTTATTGTTGTTTTCCCACGAACTTTGCAACTAAGATTGACAGTGATAACGTACATTCGAAGTGTTTCTCTCCACCCGTGAAGACAAACGAGGAGTGAATATGGGACAGACCTAACCTTTCTGCAACATGATTGGCAGAACCCATAGCAGCAGCATCAACATTGGATATATTTGTCGTCGGACCCGATCAGTGCGTGTGTGATAAATCTCATCAAATGTGGCTGTAACCGGAAATTTTAGATTCATTTTCTTTTATTATTTAACCGTTTTAATTATTTTATTTTTGTGGAAGTGAGAGTGGTTGGGAAACCACTGTATGAAGCCAGCAGTGGTGTTGCCTGAAATCCAAAGTGTCGTGTGATTGTGTGGGTGCGTGTGCCGTCGCCTGAGTGAGTGGATGTGATCCAAGAGGCAGCAAGAAAGCAAGACGGTGGTCGTGCGAGCGGCCACTTGATGGCGGTGGTTGGGCCTTCGCGCCACCAGCGGCACTCCATGTCGGTGTCTATGATGCAAGGGGGCGGGGGTGGTGCCCAACACCAACAGGCTATCCTGGCTGCCGCCCAACCCTTTTACCACCCTCAGCCGTCGTCACATCAACCTGCAACCCCTGCTGCGCACACCCAAGATGTGCAGCCTGACAGACCCATCGGATACGGTGCCTTTGGAGTAGTATGGTGAGTATCGGAACAAGTTTATTTGCCAACATGTTGCCAGATTCTGTTTTGATATTGTAAGTTTTTACCTGTTATTCTCTTCTTGCTTATTGTGGTTAGTCGGATTTGCATCAGCTGCACTATGCCGAAGCAATATGTATCTTTGTTGTTTCAGTGAAATTTTGTTATCTTTCACCTTATTTACACGCCTCAAAGCTTAATTTTTAATCAACTCAATCCACTTCATTTGTAATCAACTCAGGATGCAGGTAGTCCCATAGAATTTGTTTATCAAGCTTGTTTTCTGGAAACATATGACGTTAAACAATGGTTACAATGTGGTGCAGAATGGTTTTTACCACAACGCTTTGCTGAAGAGATTGCACATGAATTTTGTTTTGTTTTTTTAGTAGGGCACCCACCCCGCGTGACGGGAATCAAATGGTCCTGGTCAGGCGGAATTAGCTAGAAAATGAAACATAATATGACAACATTTAAAAGTTAAGACGTTCTTGTCTTTTCCATCGTATTCCTACTTGCACTGGGGAGCAGCGCGGCGGTGTAACACGCCAACAACACTCGCCCCCTACCAGCATTGTCTCACACGCCACGGGCGGCGTGGCGCGGCGTTGCGAGTGCATTCCCCGCACCGCGTGTGGGCGCTCCATGTCGCGCTCATGAGCAGGCGGGGCGGGGCGGCGCCATGGGGGCGTCCCATGGGGTATAATCCCTCATCACGGCTTATGCAACCCGACAGACTGTTGGCCGGCTGTTGGCCGTGTATGTATGTGGCTTGAGACGCACAGCCATGTGAGCGTCATGAAGCGGCGAGCCCATGGGCCGGCCGGATGTACGACACACGGGCTGGGCTGTGGTGGGCGCCGCCGCCACCACCACCGCCACCGCCGCCGTACGACACAGGCGTGCATCGCGTCCCGTTGGGCCGTACTACACCGTGGCGGGGCGTGGCGGGCCGCGACGTCCTTGCCAGTGTGCCTTGCGGCGGCGGCGGCGCTCAGCCCACTCACCCTACAAGTACGGGCGGCGCACAGCTGTTATTGGCGCCCGCTGGGCCTTCCCTCCCGTCGGAGGCGGCCGTGCCGTGTCTGCCATTACCACTAGCGTGCCTGCCGCCTGTGCAGAAACACACGTTTTCCAGTCGTAACTTTTACTCCGTTTCCATTTTGGCTTGGCCATTTTGTTTCGGTGTCGTTTTTTTTTTGGCCGGTAGGCTTGTCGGCTGGGTCCGGCCGGTCCGGGGTCCGGGCCGGCTTGCACGGCACGGCTGCATAGCGAAGAGCCCCCCCCCCCCTCTGGCCACTTGCAGCACGGTTTTGCACAGCAGATGCGGGCCGTGCGGTGCGGGCCTCAAGTGCATCTCTATCGCCGCGTGCCGCTGATGGCAGGGCAGGCCGTCGACACCACCACCACCACCACCGCCGCCGCCGTCCGCTTGGTGTTCCTCCTCTCTCGAGGTGCCCTCTGCTGCTGTCGCCTGGCCGCGCCGCTCCGGCCGTGTCGAAACGTTTTGCTTTCACAAGACGTGCTAATGGCGAGGTCGCGACGGTCGCGGCGCGGTGGTGGCGTGGCGTCCCCCGCCGGCGCGCACCTCGCGCACCACCGCGAGCAGCACGAGCAGCACGCCGTCGTCGTGCCGCCCCACACTTATTGAGCAGCCGAGGGTACAGCTATCCTCTCTCTCTAGTTCGAATGAAGCACAGTCCCAACAGGACTTCGTTCACGCCCCAGTGCGACCCACCTGCGGCCGGGGCCGGGGCCGGGGCCCCTCAGCAGGTAGAGCGGCCCGCGCCCCGCCGCCCCCGCCTGCACCGCTGCTGCACCAGGGCCGTGGCCATGCCGTGGCGAGGCGCGGCGGGCGCAACCTCTTTGTTCGGCTGCCCCGCTCAGCTCGGCTGCCCGCAGCAAGTCCTGCCCGTTCTGCCGCTGCCCGGCTGGCCGCCAGCCTCGGCTGACGGCCGTCTGGGCTCGAGCTGGCGGCCGCCCTGCCGGAGGGCCCCGTGCCGTGAGGGAAGGGAGCTTCGAGCGGCCGAGGTGGGCGGTGACGGGGAGACAAAACAAACTAGAAAACCCTTTGCAGATGGGTGCTATCAGCATTTTCTAGTCCGTGGACGATGTGAACCGCCTGACGCTTCTCTGTAAAATGCATGAGTAGGGTAACCTGTGCGGCAGTTCCTATCACCGCGTCTCGTCCCCTACACTTCCCCCCTACCTCGTGCCCGTCCGTCCAGTGCTCCCTCCTGGGGCTCGCAATGGCGCAAACACGCAAGCTCAAACACTGTGCGAGTGTGTGTGTGTGTGTGTGTGTGTGTGTGTGTGGAACCTGTCTCATCGCCGTGATTCGCTTGTTTTGGAATGCGCCTGGTTGGTCGGTCGCGCCACGGCCAGCACCAGCAAGCAGACGACAAAGACAACGACCCTCCCTCCTCGGTCGGCCGCTGGTCGTCTCTTTGCCGCGTCCAAGTCGCCTTTTTGGTCCGTTTTTATTTCACGGTGGCAGGTTGTTGTTGTCAACTTGAATCACCCTCAAGTTCAGTATATAAAGTACAGGCCGTGCCACAGAGCCAGCAGCGCGCCGCGGGGCCTGGCGACCTCGAGGAGGGGGTGCATGGTGACCTTTCTGCCAGCGAGGCGCGGCCGCCGCGGCCGCTGACTCAATACTCCTTCGCCCCCATGACGTGTCCATCAGCGGCGGCCTCCTGGAGGTGCAGCGGCGGTGTGGGCGGACGTCGTGTGCGTCATCGTCGAGTCCACGGAGAGAAGCTCCCCCCTGTGATGGTCGTGACGTCCTGCTTCCATGGGGCTGGGCCTTCCCTCCCTCTGTAGGGGCCCGGGGAGTGACTCCTCTCGCGGAGCCCGCGACCTTCCGCAACCCGCCCGCCGCGTAGCGTGTCAGCGACTCACATCAGCCATGTCGCCTCCATTCATTCATCCGCCACGCTCATGTCGTTGGACTCCCTTTCCTTTCTCTCCATACAGCCCCCCCGCTCCTCCTCTCCCCCCTGCCCTCAATCATTCTCGCTTTGTCATTTTTATTTTCGTTTATTCGCTTGCTGCTGCTGCAGTGAGAAACGGCTGTGCGGAAAGGAAGCGAAGAGTCTGTTCACTTCCCCCCACCCCGTTCACCATCGCCAGCCCTTTTACCCCCCTCCCCTTCCCCCTCTCCGCCGAGCTCCGCTAATTAAGGGCGTTTTAGATCTTGATCCGCTTCCCTCTCCGCGCACTGCAGCCCTGTGCAGCCCCATCCCCCCTTGCTTTCCCACCCCTCTCTATCTCTCTACCTGGCCGCTATCTCAAGCGGCAGAAACGTTTTTCTCTCTGTCGCCGTGTTCCAGGTTCTATGGTTCCAAGCATGTAAACGCACTACCCTACGTACCCTGTGTATAGTACAGCATGTGCTCGCATGTGCTGCTTTGTCTGGAGTGATGTGCTTGTGTGTGTGTATGTGCATGTGTGTGTGCTGTATGTGTCTCACACACTGCCGCTCGCACGATCGAAAGCGACACGGAACAAGCGCGGTGTACAAAATAAATTGTATTTGTTTTACCGCTCACATTTACGACAGGACGACTCTCGAGTCCTCTTTGGTGGTGGTTGCAGGGCAGGGCACAGCGAGCTTCTTCATCTTCAACTTCAAAAAGGGTTATAGAGGGCCGTCTGTAAATCAGGTCCCTGAGGTCGTGGGGTGCAACCCGCGGGCGGCGGCGGGGCGTGGCCGCGTTGATGGAGTTGCTGGCCTACCCTCCAGGCGGCGCGCTCGGCCGAGTTCGACGACCCTGCCTCGCCACGCCCCGCCACGCCACATGACGCGCACAAATTGTTGTTCGTTTTACTGCTGCTTGCTTGGTGTGTCGATGCAGTGGTAGGCGAGCTCGATGCACTGGCCGGGCCGGGTCGGGCCGGCGGCTCTGGGAGCAAGTCGTGCCGGCAGGCAGGACGGGACGGAGGAGACGGGGGTCAGTGGCTCCTCGCGGGGCTCGGGCGGCGGTGAAGGCCGCGGGGAGTGGAAGGTGCCGATGGTGGTGGGGGGGAGGCCGCCAACCTCACTCTCAAGCAGCACAGCAGCACCACCGCCGCCGCCGCCGCACCAGAGGCCGGCGATGACGCCCACGCGCCAACGACTTTTACATACATGAGCTTTGAGCGCGCGTCGAGACGGACGTGAACGGGTGACTGGGAGACATGTATACTCGTCTGGACCCGCTATTCGGTGTAATATTGTCACCCAAAGCTGCAGAGGGAGCCCCCCCTCCCCGCTGCAGCACTGCCCGGCACTGCCGCCGTGGCGTGCATGTAACTACTTTCTTCCTCTGCGCTGCCGCGCGCACCGCGCGCGTCCCGCAGCACAGCTCGGCAGTATCATTATTTTATCATTTCCAAGTTTTTTATTTTTATTTTTTCACATTCTGCTTCTTTTGCAGTGTGGTGGTATTGTTTTGTCGTTGTTGTGTCGCTGTATGTTTAAATCACGGCAGGAGGCACTGGCCCCTACTGACTGGCCGGAGAGGAAAAGGGGGGGGGGGGGCAGTGCGGTCAGGTGCGCGCAGTGATGATGTGATTCCCCCCTCCCCTCCACCCTTTTCTCCCCTTCGTCTAACCGTCACGTTGCTGCTGCTGCCTCTTGAACTGCAGCTGCGGCACAAAACGGTCGACGTCACCCACCACCAAGAGAGCCAGCAGCGCGCGGCGCACAACACAAACGGAAAGATAAAAGTGACGATGATAGTACGTACTACCACTAGACAACAAAAGTGCACACTCGATCGGTGCGTTTTCTCGTTCTCGTTTTTATTCGTGTAAAGTAAGATTAAGCCGGCCGAGGCGTGGGCGCCCATAATGAGTGCGCCCTGGGCGCGCCGGCGGTGGTGGCGGCCCGTTGCGAAAGTGAGCGCGGCGCGGTGCGGCGTGGCGGGCGGGGCGTCCTCCCACGCGTTGCCTAGCGACGCCCTCGGCGACGACGACGTCCTCGCGGGCGCGCGGAGGCAGGCGGGAGGAGGCGGCCG